GTTAGAAAATACAGTAGCAGAGGGGATGCGCTCAAGGGAAAACATCTATACAATTGAGGAGAACCTATATGAACTGGAGGACCCGTATGCGGATTACTGCTATGTCATTAGTGGGTAGCAAGCCTGACAACTCCGGGTCTTCACCCTTCTGTGCCATCAGACCCAGCTTCATTCGGGAGCTTGTATTGTCTTCTTTGAAAGCTATCAGATGTGTCAGCTGATTGACTTTAAGGTTCTGCCTGCGGCTACCCAGCATTCTTTATCCAGTTTCTGAGGATAAGCTCACAAAAGGATTGAACCATCATCTACCCAGTACTCAGACTTGTTACTACCTTACCTCTGCATTCCGGCCAACAGGTTACTCAACTCAGAGACTGCTAATCAGGGCATTAGAACTCAAATGAGCTTCTCTGTGAAGTAGGAATTCTTAATGTGGCGACTCCTGAATTCCAGGATTTTCAGTCCCATGATGTGTCCACGAAGCTCCTGAGAAGGTGGGGCGGGGGTGTGGGGGGGCATTACGTGCTGAGCTATATGCATGCCTTTTTGGGTACAGAAAGTCTAAAGGGGCCACTGATTTCAAAGAGAAAGTTGACTCATAAAAGGTGAAGAAACTCCTGGAGTAGACTAGATGGCCTTGAAGGTTTCCTTTGAGTCTCAACGTTCAAGCTTCTTTGAATGAAGGCTCTCCTACAGATACCAACTTACACTCTCCTTCTCCAATGAAGAAGCTGGCTCAGCAAGCCGTGGTGTGGCAGGAGCTCCTGGGGAAAAAGGAAGTGCACTCATGCGTGTTGTCAAGTTCTGCTTGGGGAGAACTCAAAGGGAAACATCTCTGACCAACTTCTCCATTCAAGGAGAGAACCGGGGCCATGTTTTTCACAGAAAAAGAAGCAGTGACTGGGATACCTATTCTGTTTCCTGGTGGAAGGAAGACGAAGGGCTGCAGCAATCTGTACTAGTCAGCCTCAGATCCCTTAGAGGGAAGACAGTGGTCCCTAAGCTTCCATTCCAAGACTGTGGAGACTAGCTCTGCCTTCCTTATTTGTTGCCTCTGCTCTCACACATAATAGAAATTCATTAGGTATCTTTGGAGTGAAAACATTAAATATGCAGAAAGGTAGCTTTCTGGAAAGCCCTTCCATTGGGGCACTCAGACAGAGCTCTGCCACCTCGCTTCTTGAACTCACAGAGCCTATGCTCCATTGGTGCTCCTATGTAGGCAGAAGTGGCTGTTTTCAGACAGTGACAATATGCACCTCACTGTCTGAAAACTGCCCCTCCCTCGGTGATGACCAACCTGCTGCTGTGCTGCATTCCATGGATGCTAGTCACCGGGAGGGAAGCGACTTCAGAAGACACGTAGACCACATCAGTGGTTCCCTCCAAAGGAGATTCTTACCCACAGAAATCTTTAAACAAGGGTTTAAACGATTGTTGCAATGATGTTTGCAAAACCTTTTTTCATTGGTAGGGGAATAGTTGATTATTGTGGTCAATCAGCACACCGAGGCAGGTAAGAAGAATTAAGTGGTTTCATTGTTGAGCTGTTTTGCTAATTTAACAAATATTTATTAGTGCTTACTATGTGCCAGGTAATCTGATGCTGAGACCAGAGAGAGAGACCAAATAGACACATCCCTGACCCCATGGAACTTCTAGTTTGACAGGCAGGAGAATTTGTTCTATCATTCACTGTTAATATTTACTGGCATCAACTTTATCAGGCACTGTTTTAGTCCCTAGGATTACAACAGTGATGAAACCCTTAATCTGACAAAGTTTATGTTACTTGTCAGAGGGAAATGCTATATTGCTAAATCAAAAGAAAAAAAAAGTTCTAGAATAATATATACAATTGACGCATAATTTTTTTAATCTTTAAAAAATCTGGAAGAATATACCCAAGTTAATATGGTTACCACACAAGGGCAAATAGTTAAGAGATAGACTCAGCCTGGCCAGTGGTGCTCAGTGGTTAAACGTTGACCTATGAACCAGGAGGTCATGATTTGATTCACTATTGGGGCACATGCCTGGGTTGCAAGCTCGATCCCCAGTGTGGGGCGTGCAGGAGGCAGCTGATCAGTGATTCTCTCTCATCATTGATGTTTCTATCTCTCCCTGTCCATTCTTCTCTGAAATCAATAAATATATATTTTTTAAAAAAGAGACTTTCACCTTTTTTTTTACATGCTTCTGTGTTTGATGATCTCCATTTTTCTCTTATAATAGAATGGTAAGATTTAAGCATTGTAGCAGTGATTTCCTGTCTGCCCTCCACTTCATAGAAAGAAATGAAGACTGGGACAGGTTAACTTAAAGAGCAAGTCTGGCAGCGAGCTAGGACTGGGACCCTGGTTTTCAGAGTAGGATTTACTTTCCATCAGTTATTTGGAATGGGACAGATGGCAGAAAGGGGAACGAAAAGCTCTTACCAGTGCCCTGGAGATGATAAGTGGTAACTTAATCACAGTGTAATAATATATTTTATTGATTTTCTACAGAGAGGAAGGAAGAAGGATAGAGAGTTAGAAACATTGATGAGAGAGAAACATCGATTCGGCTGCCTCCTGCATACTCCCTACTGGGGATGTGCCCGCAACCCAGGTACATGCCCTTGACCAGAATTGAACCTGGGACCCTGTAGTCCACAGGCCGATGCTCTATCCACTGAGCCAAACCTGCTAGGGCTCAGCATACATTTTAAGTAATTGTTACTAGCACAGGCTTTTCCACTTGGTGCCCAGGTTCTATAAAGGTTTTAGTTTGGGAGAGTTACAGAGTCCTTTAGTAAATGACCCTAACACTATCTGGCTAAAAGCACAATGCTATTAAGTCTCTTTGACTCAGCCAACTTCCCTAAAACGGATGTGAAAGAAGTGTCTGACAATCATGTGGCAATGCAACAAGGCACACTGGTTACATATGAAAGTGTTCATTCAAAAGCAAATATGCGACGATGTCATCTATGAACATAAGAAACATTCAAACCTATAAAGAATTTTTGTGAGTTTATTTTGAGCCAAACTGTCGACAATTGCCGGAAAGCAGAATCTCAACGGATTGGGATAATCCGCAGAATGGCAGATTTTCACCTTGTTTTATACTCTACAGTCAAAGGAGGAGATGTAAGTGGGTTACAATGAAATCCATTGGTGATAGATTAGGGAGGTGGGAGAAAGCAAAGCGGGGAAACCTCTGGGATTGGATAAAAAGTAAAATGATATTTATCAGTAAGAATGTATGCACCCCTATGTTCATAGTAGCACAGTTTATGATAGCTAAGATCTAGAAACAGCCCAAGTGCCCATCAGTAGATGAGTGGATAAAAAGCTTTGGTATGTTTATACCTGGAATACTATGCAGCAGTAAAAAAGAATATGTTACCCGTTGAGACAGCATGGAGGGACCTGGAGAGTATCATGCTAAGTGAAATACATCAGTCAGAGAAAGACACCTATCACATGATCTCAATCATATTTGAAATCTAAGTAACAAAATAAACTGATGAACAGGGAGGATCCAGAGACATGAAAGCATGGAACAGAGTATGGAATCTTCGGAGAGCAGGAGGGGAGGGTGGGTGGGTGGGAAGTAATAAACCAAGAACCTTTTATGCATATATGCATGGCCCATGGCCACAGACAATGGGGCGATGAGGGCTCTGGGGTAGAGAGTGGGAGGTGGGGGGAAGGGCAGGGAGGGGATTAGATTGAAATGGATCAGTGGGAGGAAAAACGGGACATATGTAATACTTTCAACAATAAAGAATTATTTAAAAAAAATAAAATGATAGGCACATACTTCTTTTGCTTAGGTGGGTACAGGATAGTTTACAGTCAACAATTAACATAACAGTAAAAATGAAGGATTTTGTGGTATCTGTCCTGGCACACAGGGCATTTGATGTGCCCCGAGGAGTCTGGAAAAAAGGGAAGTTACAAGTAACCCTGACATTTCAATGATATGGTATCTAGATATATTTTCTATGTTGTGGTAGATGCAAAAAGACTATAGGCTCAGTTAAGGTAAAGATTGACCTTAACTCAGGGAAGATACCGGCCTAGGATGTGACTACCCACCAGAACTGCTTTTAGTTAAATTTCAGACCATCCTTTGTGGTTACTTTAGGTCTTTGAGTTTGCAGAACCGCCATGCAGGCCTTCCCCGAGCTTGTCAGGTTAGCAAGTGGCCCCTTTCAACCATACATCTTTGTCATACACAAGTTCAAAATCTCCAGTTTCAGTGGACTTGCTATTAACATCTGAAAGCTGCATATCAATTATAGTGAAGCACAGTGTAACTCTACATCATTTAAAAATGTATTTTTATTGATTTCAGAGAGGGAGAGGGAGACAGTAACATCAATGAGGAGAGAGAATCATTGGCTGCCTTCTGCATGCCTCTACTGGGGATCCAGCCTGCAAGCCATGCATGTGCCTTTGGCCGAATCGAACTTGGGACCCTTCAGTCCACAGGCTGACACTCTATCCACTGAGCAAAACCAACAAGGGATACCTCATTTTTAATTAAGGTGGCAGCTTGTTTTCCTAAACTTTTGGGGGTAAAGGCTATATGTTTGTTTCTTTGTTTTAGCATAGGATGATGGTTGCTTAGCAGGAGGTACTCAATGAATATTTGGTGAAATAATGCTTGTTAAATGACAAGAACAGTTGAGTAGGAGCAGGCATACTCGGCTTTCTCTTCTGCGTTGGCCCCACAGTGTGTCTTCTGTGGGTCCCATCCTCTAGTCCTCTTTCTGGCTCTCAGTTTATTCATTATCAGTTGAGGAGTTGGCCCTGATTGTTTAAGATCCCTTCAGATATAAACAGTCTCAAAATGGCCTTTTAGCCTGGCCAGTGTGGCTCAGAGTTTGACCTATGAACCAAGACATCACAGTTTGATTCCTAGTCAGGGCACAAGCCTGGGTAGCAGGCTTGATCCCCAGTGGGGAGAGTGGAAGAGGCAACCAATTAATGATACTCTGTGATCACTGATGTTTCTATCTCTCCCTCTTCTTTCCTCTCTGAAATCAGTAAAAATAAATAAGTAAGTAAATAAATAAATAAATAAAGTTTTAAAAAATGGCCTTGCAGGTCTAGAGTCTGACCTAAAATCACTCTCTGTGCTGAACCTTTCAAAAACAGCATAGCAGAGCACAAATATTGTTCCCGTCCACTAATATCTCCTTATAATCCAGTCAGACTGGAGAAGTCTGACTTTCAAAGATACTTCCCAAAGGACTAATGTCCAGGTGTGGCAAAGAGATAAAGAATGGAATGCTGGAAGGAATTTATCTTTATCTACTGGTATAAAAACCCTTGGGGGAAGGATCGGCGACAAACCATCAGAAGAGCTGGAAACCTCCTAACTCATGTGTAAGTACAATCCTCTGGAAATTTATGCAGAAGAGAAAATCAGAACTTTGTTGCTTGAACTTTCTGAGTATTATATGGCATATTAGGGCAACAATGATAGAGCCAATAGAAGTTAGGGAAAATTCCAGGGGAGAGCGCCAAGGAATCAAGGTGGCCAAGTAGATAAATCCTGAACTCACCTCTTTCCAGGAACGTGTGGAAATTATTGCACAAAGGTCACTGAGACCACCTGAAGACCAGCTGAACAGAAGTCTCTAAGGTTATAAAGAAGGAACCACGTTGACACAGGTAAGTGTGACTATGGGGTCAGGGAAGGTCCCATACTCCCTGTGTGGTGATGAATGAATGGGAGGGATAGTTGGGCTTCACAGGTCCCCCCTAAAGAGCCAGAGGTCTGAACCCCACTTCAGGCTCCATAGCACAGGGCACCTGTGCCGAGAGTTCCTATAACATCCAGCTTTGGGCACCAGTGGGGATTATGTCTGAGATGGAGGAAGGGTTATAGGAGACCTAGCACTGTAGGCAGAGGGTACACACGAACTCCCGCCCTCTAAGCTCCAGCACAGAGGCAGCAGCTCCAGAAGTGCCTGGGACCTAAGGGGAGGAACTCAATGGATTAACCTTAGGGCACAGGCTAGAGGGGCAGGGATTGGTAGAACTCTCTCAGGGGACAGAGTGCTATTGTCCCTTTGTTGAGTTCTCCCATCCAGCTGGCCCTGAGCAGGCAGGCACAAAATCTCTCTCTATTAACCTGGCCTACACTGTCTGCCCTGCTCTGGCTTTTCCCTGAGAGTCTGTCCCACCCAAACAGCTCACCTTGCTGGAGCCTCTTCCGGCAGCTCCAGACCCTTCACAAGAGCCCACATAGTCTCCCCGAAAAGCCCTCGCGTTCTACAGGAGTGACGGCCTGCTTCTGGCACGCCCTGCAATCTCTCCCAAATGCCCTTCATTCAGCACAAGCAGCAACCTAGGCATCTGTCAGTAGATGAATGGATAAAGAACACGAGCTACATATGTACAAAGGACTATTACGCAGCCATAAAAAGAATGAAATCTTGCCTTTTGTGACAAAATGGACCTAGAGGATAGTATGCTAAGTGACCAAAGGCAGACAGAGAAAGAAAAAGACCATCAGTTTTCAGTTATATGTGAAATGTAAAAACAAGGACAAAGAAAACTAAATGGAAACAAGCTCATACATATAGAGAACAAATTGGTAGGTACCTGATGGGGGTGGAGGAGGTGGGGGGGTGTAAAAGATGAAGGGAATGAAAAAGTACAATCTGCCAGTTATAAAATAAGTGACAGGGATGTAAAGTACAGCAGAGGGAATGTGGTCAATAATATTGCAATAATTATGTATGGTGTCACACGGGTCCTAGACTTACCATGGGGATAACTTTGTAAGGTTTGTATGTCTAGTCACTCTGTTGTACACCTGAAACTAATATAAGCTTTTATATCAACTATAATTTAAAAATCCTTTTTAAAAATTGGAAAAATTCACATAAACTAGAGTGCTTTGAATTTCTTGGGAGATAGAGTCTCATGTAAATGGGTTCATGGCTTATACATCTCAGTTGCTTAAGCTTCTCCTGGGCAACATCAGTGAGGAAGACCTGCGTATTTAGGCTTACGTGGAGGCTGTGTGACTTTAGAGCCGACACATTCCTTTGCTCAGCCTCTCTTCATCTGTGAAGTGGGCATTGTATAATATGGAAATAGGAACAAACATTGGAGCACATACAATAGCCATGTGTGGCTATATATTTTTTTCTTTTTAAATTTATTTTATTTTATTGCCATGTGTGGCTATTTAAATGAAAATTAATTTATTTAAAGTTTTATAAGTTTTGATTTGAGCCAAATTGACAACAGATGCCGGAGAGAAAGATCTCAAATGCTCCCTAAATTTAAATTAATTAAAATAAAGTTAAATGAAAAGAAAATTAACTTCCTCATTTGTACTAACCTCATTTTAAGTGCTTGTCCAACACCTATATAGAATAACTCCATCATCACAGAAAATTCTAAGAGAGATGGTCAACACACACCACACACACATACACACACACACACGCACACACAGACTCACATGTGCGTGCATCACATCACACACACATCACAGGAAAGGAGGTAACAAATGCAGTGTAGAAAACTAAAGAGAGTGATGAGGAATGTCTGAGGTGACATTTAAGCAGAGATCAGAACGAAAAGGGGAAGTCTGGAAATGGTGAGCTAAAGGAATAGGGATCTAGGCAGAGACACCACCAGCAAGAAGGTACTAAAGTAGGGATGCATTTGAAAGAACCATGAGTGACTGGAACCCCATGGGCAGGGGAGAGATAGAAAAATATGAGAGTTGGGCAGAGGTTAGATCACTGGGCCTTTGTATCTAGGTTAGGAGTTAGATTTTTTTTTTCTTCTGAAAGAGTCATGGGAGGGTTGTAAGTGGGGGAGTGTCATGGTCTAATTATATTGGCCCTTTATGTCCTTCTGCACAATTTTATTAGTTAAATGCTTATTTTACCTGTATCTCTGCCTGATAGAATAATCCTGGACTTTTTTATCCTTTGGTATACTTGTTAGCCTCAATATAATAGTAAAAAGTATTTAATTTAATTAGAAAATCCTTATCTCTGACCTACTGGGATTTGGCAGAGTTTCAGCGTATAACAAAACTAGTCAAAATCTTTTTACTTTATTTTATTGATATTGAGAAAGGAAGGGGGAGAAAAAAGAAATAGAGAGTGAGAAAGAAGCATCAATGTGAGAGAGAACATTGATCAGTAGCCTCCAAAACACATGCCCAGACTGGGTATCAAATCCGCAACCTGGATACATCCTGCCCTGGAACAGAACCCTCCACCTTTTGGTGCAAAGGGTGTTGCTCCAACCAACTGAGCCACATGGTCCAGGGCTGGTTTTAAAACCTTTTGCCTCCCAAATAATAAGGCATGACCTGTTTGTATGTGAAGCATTTCAGAATATGTCTCCTAACTTTGGTGGTGGTTGAGGTAGGGTCAGTAGTGTCCACTGTAAGTATATAAAGACAAAGCATAAAGGGAAAACAAATATGTAGGCTGATATAATCTTTCCAAACCTCAGCTTCTTCCTCCAAGAATGGGTTAATAAGAGCACCTGCCTAAGGGTGAAAGTAAAATGCACAGAGCCTATGACACAGTAAATTCTCCAGAAATGGAGGCTGTAGTATTCATGCATATTTAGGTTTAGTTTTGAGTTTGTTCATTACAACAATCTAAGAGAGATAGAACAAGTATTTAAGGAATGAGGAAATCAAGGCTTGGCTCAACTTAGTAACTCACAGAGATACCCAGCTTCCTAAGTGGCAGAGCTGGTATCTGAACCCAAGTGTGGAGGAAACTCTTTCTTGATGTAACTGCTGTCTGTCCCACAAGCTGGATTTGGCCTGGATCAGAGGTTGCTTTTCACAACCCCCCATTAGAGACTGTCTGATGACAATTGATATATATATGCCTAAGTCAGTGGTCAGCAAACTCATTAGTCAACAGAGCCAAATATCAACAGTATTTCTTCAAAATAGACTTGCCCAGGCCGAAAATTGACTTCTGTGCATGGGCCACGAAGTTTCAATCACACTGTACACGCGCCCGCATGTGGTATTTTGTGGAAGAGCCACACTCAAGGGGCCAAAGAGCCACATGTGGCTTGCGAGCCACAGTTTGCCAACCACAGGCCTAAGTGACCATTAGGACCAGTAGAACAAATGGTCAGCCAGTCACTATGATGTGCACTGACCACCAGGGGACAAATGCTCAACACAGGAGCTGCCCCCTGGTGGTCAGTGTGCTCCCACAGCCAACCTCCCTCAGTCCCTTCCCCCTGCCCACTGGCCCCAATGGCCCATTGGGACTGGGCAAGACAGCCCGATCGGCCCCGATTGCTGGCCAGGCTGAAGGATCCCACCCAAGCACTAATTCATGCACCGGGCCTCTAGTTCTAACATAAATCAGCACCCCTTTCTTGCTTGTTCCTATGTTCTGGTCCCTCGTATAGGCCCATTGTCCTGATCTGGTTAAGCATTCTAAAATTAGAATAGGTTTAATTAAGTGAATTTATTATTTTAATTGATTTTTAATTTTTGTTATTGATGTGAGAGAGGGAGAGAGGGGGGGAGAGAGAGAGAGAAAAAGAGAGAGAGAAATATCAATTTGTTGTTCAACTTATTTATTATTTATGCATTCATTGGTTGATTCTTTTATGGAACTCACAACCTGGCCTATCAAGATGATGCTCTAATCAACTGAGCTATCTGGCCAGGGTTTATTTGATGGACTTCAAATATCAAAAGTAAACTGATACAGCCAGTTTGGTGTGGCCCAGTGGTTGGGTGCTGTTCTATGAACCCGGGGGTCTTGGTTCTATTCCAAGTCAGGGCACATGCCTGGGTTGTGGGCTCAATCTCCAATAGGTGTCAAGCAGCAGGCAGCCAGTCAATATTCCCTCTCATAAACAATGTTTTTGTCTCTTTCCCTCTCCCTTCCTCTGAAATCAATAAAAATATATTAAAAAAAATAAACTGATACAAAATCAGAATTTTGTTCTTTGTGTTAAAATAAAGGTATAGAAAACAAAGGACACAGGAATAGGCCCTAAACTTGCCATGGACCAAGGAGTTATGATGAGGACACCAAGCCGTTTTCCCCTGGAACAGGGACCATTTAGTAGACACTACAATGGGATTTTCCACCAGGATAGGTCTTCACATCCCTGCGTGGGGAGGAACTGCTTAGCCTCTGTTGGGACCCTGTCATTCTAATGCAGTTGGGACCCATCCATTGAAAGGGGAGAATGGGTCCTCTTCTGGCATATTCCTCCTCCTATCCCCTTCCATACCCCTGAGAGCACAACTTCCTGCTGGACAACCTGTGGTTTACACAGCCTGGCTAGGCTGCAGGTGTAATTCTCAAAGGAGATCTCTCAGTTCAAGTTCCTACTAAATATTTGTCTTTCTGACCCTAGAATTCTGCTGTTGTGGCATTCACTTATGGGGAGTGTGTGTGTGTGTGTCGGGGGTGGGGGGGCATTCATTATCCAAACCAAATGCTGTGGTTTTATACCCGATGCAGCTTATAATATTTCTTTTTTTGATAGTACATATGAAAAGTCAAGTAAATAAATGATCTGGCCACAGCCTAGGTGACCTACTACCCATAGGCTTAGGGCGTAGGAGGCATGAAGAAAAACTTTGTTATTAATACCTGGGCTGCTTATTTAATTTGTCTTTTTCCTTGTATGTGTCTGTA